TGTCAGTCATTCATTCAGTCAGTTAGTCATTCAGTCGGAACGTAGTCTGTTTTATGAGGTGTTAAGTGGGATTAAATTAAAAGTCGCACAAGGGGGGCACGTTGCAGGGGTTGGCGCTCGGTGTGTGTTGAAATGTTTGCGTATTTATTTAAGTTATGGCAAAATACCGAGAAAACAGAGCAGAGTGTGTAACCAGAAGCAAAACACTCGAGCCAAGAGCGAAGAGCGAGTAGCTCCCCCTTGCTGGCCCCACTGTGAACCTACCATCCGACCTCCTGATACCCCATTTCCCGACCGCCGACAATCGACCCGGCTTGTTGTTTCATTAGCGCGCAAAGGGCAAAAGAGAAACTTGATTTTTGTTTGCTTTTCGTCGACTTTTGAGTGGAGAGGGTCGCTTCACATGTGTGTGTGTGTGTTATAAATTTATATTTAATAAACTTTTGGAGAGTGACGTTTTAAGTGGACTTCTTGGTTGGGTAGCTTCAATCAGGATTAAATGATTGTACCACACACACACACACACAGAGTTAAATTATCAAAGTGGTGTCGCATCTGCAGAAGACGGACTAAATAAATGTATCTTTAAGATACTGTTCAGCTGGAGTATATAGAAAACAGCTTTTCGCTGCGTCATCAGATATTACGGTAGCAGCATAGAACTGTATAATTTTACAATTAATACTCATCATAGTGCTTCACATTTAAGGGTCTGCTTGTACCCAAATATAATCTTATTATCACGCCTTGTCATTTGACCACACTCATTAATTTGATGTCGGACATCTCATTCGACAGTCGCATGACAAGATATGTATCTCTGTTCGCTGATAAAGAACAAATAATTTGGGTTCATACACCGTTACGTGTCGTAGCACATTGCATTTCTCACAGTACCCTCTCACCCCCCAAAGAGCAATATGCTGATGGCAAACAATTATGGATGAATAAAGTCCACATCCTAAATGAGAGTAGTGTTGTTGCGACACGTGTTCGCATTTTGAGCAACGACAGCCAATTGCTTATTAAAATAATAATATGGCCAAAAATTAAACATCAGATTGCTACCCTCGGGGGAGGCAGTAAACTCACCCCCGGCAACATTTACATGCATGTGAGAGACTGAGACAACAACGATTACAAATCCACCCTGCCACATGTAAAAACTCTCAGCTGATAATGAAAACATTTGCACAGCTTTTGCGCACAGCCCAAAAAGGACACAATGGGATACAAGACTCAAGACTCGAGGCATGTGCAATGAAAATCTGGGGACTTGTCAAATTTAACGACCTCATAAAAGCGGCGCGTCTTAAAGTTTAAAAACAAAGAGCAACATCAAGAAGAAAAAAATATACACAAACCAAGATAAATAGAGAGAAAAGCCTACACTTTGATCATAAAATCATGTTGCCGTATAAATGCAAGTTTTAGTTGAGACCCCTGAACTATCGACCCAAAGCAGACAAACAGACGGACATCGCATAACCGAATTCAAATTAATACAATCATTGGGTCGCTCCGGCTCGCATTTATTGACAGTCGGAGTTTTGTCAGATCAAAAGATGTCTTTGCTTGCAAGGAATTTCGCCAGAGATGCTGCAGATATGTATGACTGGGTTAAGGGGTAAGGGGTGGGTGAATTGGGGTTAGGGGTGTGGCTGGTGGTGTGTTGGGATTCGTCTGTTGTCACTAGGAAAATGGACATGTACCAATTTGGCTCACACACAAAAGTATAAGTAGTCGCATATTGCTCGAAGCAAGCAATAAAATAAATGGCAATGAGTGACTGAGCAAATGAATAAATGAGAGAACATTTTTGCTTTGAAATTCAAATTTCAAAAGTTGTCATGACATTGTGTTTATGACACAGTCGCTGAGAAAGGGGCGTGGAGGGGCGGGGTATGGGGGTGGTATGCGGCCAGTTGTGCGTTGTGCCCCCACTCTCTATCTCTCTCTCCCGCTCTCTCTCTCCCTCTCTAACTTTGTTTTATTTCCCTGTTTCTGTGCTGCAAATTTAAAATTGAATATTTGCACGCCTTAAGCATTCGAGATTACAAAGATCGACTTCACTTTATGAGCACGCAAACAGGCATATGTGTGTAAGTGTGTGTGTGTGTGTGTGTGTGTGTTCCTTGCTGTCATTTGCATGTGTTAGATGCATTTCTGGTATTTGCACTGCTCAAAGCCATTTAAAGCGGTTTATTTTTGTGTACAAATTACACGTTTAATTGCATTTATGTGACTGCTGGGCATGGTCTGCACTTTAAGTTATATAATGTAGTCAAATTATCTACCAATTGCTACTTGTAGAGAAAATGCAACATTATTTAAGCTGCAGATAAATGTTACTGAGCATATCGACTCCATTTAATGACTTAGATAAAGTTATATTAAATGGAATATTAACTGGAAATATATTGCAATATATTTTCATAAATATATGAAATAGCCACAAATACAAAAATTAATTTATTTTCTTGTTGCACTCTGTAACGATAGCTAGCTCGATCCCATAATCAAAACTCCAGTTCTTAACGATTTAAGTTTTTAAACACTCTGCGCCTATGCTAAATGCACAGATCCTATTATAAATTTGTATTTTTTTATTTTTTTGGTTTTTTAATTTCGGCAAGCGTTGAAAGTCAATTGAAGTTGAAATGAGAATTGAAATGGCTAGCAATTAAAGATGATGACGCCTCCTGTCCGCCTGCAATCGAGTTGACTCCGGATGTCTCTTGGATTCTGCTTTCTGCTCTCTGCTTTCCCGCTTGCCGCAGGCTCAAACACTTTGCATAACATTAAGCAGCCTCAATTTTATTTTTCTTGTTGTTGTTGTTTTTTTTTTATATTATTTTTGTTTTGGGGTTTGGTTCTCTGCGGTCTACCGCAGCGCCATAAAATATGCACCCGGCGCTTGGCAAAATTCACAACAAAGCGAAAGCCGACGATGACGACGGCGTCGACGTTGAAGTATGCAAAATGAGTCGAGGCACAGAGCAAAGCGCCTAAAAGCATATTTCAATTAAGCTATCACCTTGAATTATTCTCACGAGCGCTTGCCTCATCCACCCACACTAACACTCACACACACATAAAAGCAGGCCGCAGTACTTTTTTTTTTTTTTTTTTTTTTTTTTTTTAATTTTAATGTTTTCATTCAAGAGCTAAAGAAGCAGAATGCGGTGAAGAACGGTAAAACCGCTCGTCAAAATTTGCATTTAAATGAGGCGCAGAGGCGACTGACGGACGAGGTTCGTGTTTGGTTATACTATACACATACACACACACACACACACACACACACACACACACACACACACATATATATATATATATATATATATATATATATATACAAACATTTCTCTTCTTTTTTTTTTGGCTGTCTTTCGACTGGGGTGAAATTTTTATGATTGCGGTGACTGCCAAATTGTCAGTGGTTGTGCGTGGGTGTTTTGCGAGTGTGTTTTCGCCTGGCTGCATAAAATGTAAATATTCATTAATATACGCAAGCGTGCTGTATCTGTATGTGTGTACGGGTCAGCGCACACACACACACAATCAGTTGCTTCCGCGTTGTAAAGTTTTTCCCAACAAAAAAAAAAAAACAGAAACAACCATAAACACCAAATTTAAAAAAAGCGAGCTTTAAATGACTTCGTTTCGAATTGATTTAGTTTATTATTGTGATTATTTCACAAATTGTGGAATTCAGTTGAATGAGTACGATGCTTAAACATTTAAAAGCATTCGTCATATCCATCAGTCAAAAAGAAATCTGTAAGGCTTAAAGTAAGACATGTTTTCAAATACTTGCTGAATTGATAAAAATCATATATTTCCCTATGGTTCCTCAATTTCTGATGATATTTTCTTACTGCGGACACAATTGTACTAGTTTCGGAAGGAAAAATATACTTGGGATAAAGTGTGCAAGGAAAGAAGACCAACTGAGACTTACAGTAGACTGAAAACAATGTCTAAAATGTTGTTTTCACTGTCTGACATTTTAATTAACAGAATTTGGTTATATGCGCAACTGGCCTTATTGCTGGAATGTCAAAGGCATTGCATGCTCTTAGGCATGCAAAAAATTACAATTAAAATGCAAGCGAAGCCTGCAGACTGAAAACCAAACGATGAGCTACACGTCTCCTCTTCGTTGGATGTGTGTGTGTGTGTGTGTGTATGTGTGTGTTTGTCGGCCAGGCAACAATTTTCACATACTGCTTGGCACACACACTCACACACACATACATGCTTCTCACGCTCCACCAACCATTAGTCGCCTCATTCATCGTCATCCTTCATCCAGTTTGTGCCTCTGCGCCGCTTGGCTTGGCCAAAAATTTTTGGCATAAATGCCATAAACAGTTTATTTAGCAACGGAAAATTAACTGCAAAATGTAGCAACCAACAACAACAACAACAACAACAATACCAAAAAGGAACTACAAGAACAACGCTGAGGCAGTCAGACGACTGATGATGCTACCCAAGGCAGCCATTGCCACAGTTCCTCCCAACTCGCCCCTACCTCGAAAAATAAAGGAAAAACTCAACTCGACGCTTTATGACGTTTTACTTCATGTGCAGCTTCATAATTAAGTGGCTCCTGTGTGGAGAGGGAAGTGCTGCTGCTGTGGTGAAGGGGGGAAGGGACTTGGCAGCGGTCCAAACAACTAGCTCAAGTTGTTGCTGTTATTCGCACTGTTGTCTCATGCACTCGGGGGAGCTTTTAGTTTTGAGCCACGTGAGAAGCATCATCGCTTTGGGTTTGGCTCTTGGCCATAAAAACCGAGCCCCAAACGAGGTCAACGGAGGACACTAAAATTCAGTGGATATACACGTATGTTTAACGTCTCTTCATAGATAGGTGTAGAACTTCTATATGTACATCATATATAAAGCCATGCTAGTTGCTGGTAGAAGAAGGGCACTTTAGATACATTTAAAGAGGCACATAAAAGTGTTAGCAGCTCGTTTTCTGTACTTACTAATTTGATGGCTGGTGGTATTAATGGATGATGGCAACTTACCTGAAAGAAATAGAAAGAGAAAACATTAATATTAAATGTCTACAAAATGAACAGGAATTGAAGTAATTGCTTTATGTTATTAGTTGAGTCATTAGGGGATGTCCACTGATAGGAAATGTGAGTTCAAGAGGAATTGCTACTCAAAATTAACTTGAGATAATGATATTCCTGCAGGAAAACGAAGTCATTAAGCTTATTATATATTTATCAAGCAAACATATTGCTCTGCAAAGTTTACTCTTAAGCATGGAAACCAGTTTAATATTCAGAATCTTTTCCTGATAGACAAATTGATTTGAATTATTCAATTTTTCATTTATTTGGCTAAATCATCTTAATTACAACAAAACAGAATAATCTTTTGAATTATTATAAGGGAAATAAATATTTGAAATATGTATTTGATATATATCTTTTTCATAATAGGTTGCTAACTACATTTGTATCCTTAAAGCTTGTTTGAAGCCCTTTTATTAAATTCACACTCTCCTCTGCGAATCACACTTTAAAAAATTGATTAAAAACCCTCGAAGCAACTAGCCAAAGTTTGTTGAGGCCAGCAAGAAGAAGGAGCAAGGATGTGTTTGCGTAAAAGGGAGAAAGAGAGAGCGATGAGGGAAAGCTAAAAAAAATGTCATAAAAATTCTATTTTCGTATAAAATTTCGAAGTAATCTAATAAATATTGATTTTCATTCGTCATCGACAACGTTGGCGTCAACGCTGGCGACGACAACAACATCATCATCGAAAGCAACAGCGCCACCAGCAGCGGCAAGCAGCAGCTCTGAGAAGGGCGTGTTGTGTAACCCTACACGTGCACACATACACATACACAGGCAGGACCCGGGTCAGGACGGGTGCAGAGACAGGCGCAGTCAATAGTCGTTATTTGATATAGTCGAAACCAACAAGCAACCCATGATGAAACGTGCCTGGGCGGCTGACCAGTGCGACCACACGCAAAGGGCAAGGACATGGGGGACGTTTGAACGGGTGGATGGGTGGATGGGTGGAGGTGGGGAGGTGGCAGTTGTCCGATCCTGACGCGCTGCAAGGGATGAAATCATGCGCGCAACTCGTTTTTGGGCACTGCCCTGCCGTAGGGCTGCCAAACATACACAAACACACACACACACACACCCGTAGACACACAAACAGACACACACACACACACACACACACATAGTTCATTCAATCATTCAAATGTCCTTTGAACTATAAAAATACATGACACTAATAAAGAAAACGAACAAATGACACGACACTCGGGCTACGTTGCCGGACTCAGAACCCAGACCCGGACCCGGTCACGATAAGCAAGCAGAAGACGTTGCTCAACAAACTCAAAAAAAAAAAAAAATGGCTATTTAGAGCAATTTATAAGCATACTTTGAGGCGCCTCCCACACACCCCACAACCCCCTACACCCCTCCCTCGACATTTGACATTTACGAGTTCGCCGCGGCGGAGACAGCGACAACGCTGAGTAGGTGCACGAGTTAGGATGAAGGGGGAGTGGGGTAAGGGCAAGGGCAGAATGGTGGAGTTTGGAGTAGAGATCCACCAACCACATAAATTTCTGGTGCGCTTCCAAACGCTTTTCTGTAGCTATTTATTGCATTTTTATGTAAAATGCGCCGTGCGGTATGCTATACTTTTTCTCTTCCTGCCGGCTTGGGTTTTTTTTGCTGCTTCTTCTTTTTTTTTATACTTATAAGGGCGACATTCCTGCAAAGTTGTTTACGAGGCAGAGAGCGTAATACGTAAATCGAAAATGCCGCCCACGCAATGACCAAATTTACGCAATTAAAGACATTTGGGGATACATTTTATGGCATACTTAAAGGCCTCTGTGAGTGGGATGGGTGTATGTGTGTGTTTGTGAGTGTGTGTGTCTGAGTGCAGGTGGATTCGATATAAGCCCAATAAAGAATTGCAGCTGAGATAATTTTACCGTTTTATACTTTTCTTTTTTTTTTTATCGCTGTTTGATTTTCAATAAGACTAGCTTGTTGGCAAATCAAATAAAATATATTTTTTAAAGCACGTCTTAAAGAAAATCCAATAAATATGCTAATCAGAAAAGTGAGAAGCGCTTTGTAAACAGCAACCCTTGTAGTGCATGAAAACAAAGCACATCAAATTGAACATAAAAAAAATTGCGTATCAACAACAACATACAAAAATACTAAATTTTATAGATACAGCAGTTATAGCAGATAACTATATATATCCTTACAAATGTAATAACAAAATAGAAATAATTCCAACTGAGCACCTGAGATGAAATAGGTTTTGAGTATAGTTCAGAATTGTTTACAGGGAATATAGTTTTTGCGTATTTGAGATTATTCGCAACTGCATCTTTATCGCTCTCTAAGCTGTTGCGATTTCTACAAAGATTGTTATGCGTTCGAGCTCATTTTCACATACATATGTATTGTATTGCATAGTTGCTCGATTTAATATGATTTATCAGCGCATCTGCAGAGCTCTGCACATTTTTATGACCATATGCTGGGCGAGTCCTTAGCTACACCACTCGCCCACACCCACTTTCCCAGACCACAATCGACAATACCACAACAGCTGCACTACACAAAGAGCAACACGAACACACAAATCAAAACTGGGCACACAGCGCCTAAAAATCTGCTAAGGCCAAACAGCACGGGGCAATAAACTACATCATGGAGTTGACCAACTCTCTGTCTCTCACTCTCACTCACACTCTCTTTCTCTCTGTATGTCTCTGGGTCTGGCTTTGGGTCTGTCTCTGCCCCATGTAATCTCTGTTGACCATAAAGATTTATAGACTATTGTAGTATGTCGGCATCGCCATCGCCATCGCCATCGACGTCGTCGCGGTAGCCGCAGCAATGAAAAGGAAACTTTTTGCAACTTAGCGCCAAACTTTATGCAATAATTTATATATATTGGGACCAAGGCGCGCGGCTATATAAAAAATAAAACGCAATAACAACGACCTACACAAAAGGCAAGACACATAATAGACACAACAAACAAAAACAATATTAACAAAAGCAAACGCAACGCATGTGGAAAACAAGCAGAAAACGAAGTTGTCACAGCAAATTCTGGCGCACAACAAAACTGGAATGCCCTTTTTGAATGCTTAAATACTAGGGTATCGCATATTAATGCATTAAAAATAATTGTAAATAAATATTACTTTCAACATCTCTTTTTCATGTGGAATTAATTCCCTAAAAAATGGTTTATATATCATTTACGCAGTCAGCCAAATATAATGAATTGTTTATCAAATTCATTAAACTAATTATGATTATAAAACTATTGAAAAATCGACAGTCTCGCATGTGAAGCGTAAAAAGGCATTGCACGATAAAAATTAAAAACTTGCTCCGCCGATACACCTAAGCCGTGAGAATCGCGAAAGAGAATGAGCGAGAGAGAGAGAGGGAGAGAGAGAGATAGTGAGAGAAAAGTTAAACGAGCAGAGGGTTACGGACTTGCACGCGAATTCGCCAAGTGTAAAAGAAAAAGTTTTCAATGAGTTTTTCCTGTCGACGGCGACTGCGACGACGGCGTCGGTTATGAGCCTCCAACGAACCCGCCCACAAGCCCCTCGTGTTATTGTTGTTTGCATTTTAAATAGACTCAAGTGTTGTTGTTGCAGTTGTTGTTGATGATGTTGCAGTTGTTGTTATTGTTTTCAGCTGCTGGTGCCGGTTGCAGGCATTGTCTGAAGTGCGTTTCGGTTTGCTACTTTTGCCTTATTGTTGCTCCGGTTGGTGTTGGTGTTTCTGCTCTTATTGTTGGATGCTGTTGGGGTTGGCGTTGCAAAATCAATCGATAGTTAATGGAAAATCGTTATTAATGAAAACTTTTTCACCCACACCACCCTACGCCGTGCCACTGCCACCGGAGCCAGCAGCAATCGAGCATGCACTGAGCCATAGCAAAATGCTTGATAAAGTGCAGAACGTAATAAAAAAAAAGAAAATAAAAGCAAACTGAGGCAAAATGAAAAAATGGAAAACGCTACATTTAAGTAGCAAACTTCCTGGAAATTTTTTGTGTTGTTGTTGTACGTAATTTCATTTGAGTGCGAAAAGTTGCACGCACATAAAGACGGACACAAAGCGAGAGGCAAACACATTTTTTGTTGCATATTTCGCGGCGCATAAATATTTTATGCATGCAGAGCAACAAAAGCGTCATCAAAACACACAATGGACAACTGCAGAAGACTTTGCCAGTGTTTTGTCTGACTCGCAGTTAGCGTCTGTATGTGTGTGTGTGTGTCAATGTGTATCTGTCTGTGTAGGTGTGTGTGTGTGTGTCTATATTGTCTGCTTTCAGGCGCATTTGCACCTCCACAATAAGCAAAAGTTTTGGGCCAATTTATAATGCCGACTCTGCTGCAAGGCAAGCATTGTCGCAACCCGCATCTCCACCGATTGAGGAATTTTAAAAGTTTTGGTTCAATAGTCACAACAAAAGTTTAATGACAGTTTAAGTTGTTTGATAGCAAACCGCCGCCGCCTCAAGTTATGCAGCATTTTAAATGGTAAACAAGGTACGAACTTGGCGATAAGTGCTTCTTATTGTGAATGGCGGCGGGCTAAGAAATACGCACTTATAAAGCGAAAAGAAAGCAACCTCAAATGAAGAAAACATTATTTACAAGCTAACTGAATGTCAAAATTAGATAACCAGGAATATATACGTTGCTTCAATCTTTTAATTTAACGGAAAATGCTTAATGCATTAAGAACACGTTCTTGATTTGAGTTAAGATATAAGTTTTTCACTCTTAATAGCATATTTTTAAACGAGATTTCTAAAGATTTACTAAAAGATTGTGAGTTAAAAACTTAAAATCAAACAAAACTTTTATACAATTCAACATAATTCTTTCTTTTTTCTTTTTCTTTTAGTTAAGAACCTTTTTCTAATCGGTAAAATATCGCATGTGATAAATGCATTATTTGCTCGTAAAAGCCGGCAAAAT